CCCCAAAACCCCAAAACCCCAAAACCCCATTGTGCCTGCTAAATGTTGAATAATTATTTTCCTTTCATTATCATGCTCCTCTGGTGGGAGAAGTACCGTGCCCTTTGCTTGAACTTCTCTATGGTCACATCATTCTGATATTCTATACATTAATAGAGACAGTTACTTGAGATAAGGTATTTTCTTCCTTCATTTTTGGGCTCAAAGCTGGAGAAATTCATCCTCAACCCTGAACTCTGAGGCGTGTTGCTCCAAAATGACTTCATTGGAGAGATCTTTGGCAAATTCTGCCTCTGTTGCACACTAGTAGGAGTCCTTTGGAATGATTTTACTAAAGAAGCGGTTGAATCAAACTCTTTCAAAGAGGAGAGCTTGATATCCTTATTTCTCACGATTGGTTTGCTGATTTCAGATCTCCCAGAGACATTTCCTTTGTGAACATCATTGATCCGTCTCAATAAGCTCGTTTTTCTCTTCTTAAAGTTCAACAACTGCTGATTATTGCCACTAGAAAAGTTTTTAAAGGAGGGGATCTTAAGTGCATTGATGTTCCTATTTTTGCTTCTCCTTGCCTTTACTCAATCCTTGCATTCTAGAGTCATAGAACTCGAGTAGAACTGAGTTATTCATTGATCTTGGATTCATTTCACTAAATTAATTATCTAACTGAATGCACTACTTGTACCCAAGAAATCCTGATTCCTCCGTCTTTGAACGATTCTGAGGAACTTTTTGGCCTAAAACTTGATTTTTAAAGTATACTTCTGAGATTTCTGGGGTAAAGAGGTTTCTCTTCTTGAGCTTTATCCTCCTCAACTTTTGTTAACTTGAGATCCAAATTATCTGCCTTCCTTGAAATTGGAACCTTATTACCTTCTTCCTTCCTATTCTGGCTATAAATTGGTCTTTTTATCAACGAATTCTGGGTGTTATTTCAGCTACTATTATCTTCAGGAATTTTAGTATCTTCAACATTCAAATTCCTCGAAGTGGCATCTCTCCTTTGGGTCAGTGCTGTATTCCTGAAATAGCATTTTTGTTTGACAATTCTTGAATGATCACTAGAGGTCTTAAAAAGAACCGTTTTCTTGTCCTAGGAGTTATTTCAATGTCTTACTTTTAATTTTTGATCATCCGGAAAGACATTAAAATTTATTCTAGAGAATCAGGAAGAAGAGCTCACCCATCCTCTGAAGGGTGATATCTGGGACCAAGGTCTAAAGGAGATATTTCTGTTTCAAAATTCATTTTTGAGTTAAAGGCTTCGATTGGATTTTGGGTTGTGCTTAAATCTACAATACCCTCATTGAACTTAAGCAACCTACACAAAGTGACTTCTCTAAAACTACCTGGAAGATTTATGACTCAAAGCATGCTTTTTCCCAGCTAGAGCATGCACAACTACTGAGTTAACTTCCTTCAAAGATCGTTTATTTCCCACAAATGCTTTCTAAATCAATGTATCAACTCCAAATCATCGGCTGACTTACTCTCCCAAGAGAGGTATTTGTAGAAAGATTATTTTCCTATAAATCACAGAACAAATTTACCCCAAGAACAACAGACTGTAAATCAATATTTTTCTTCTTAATTTTCCTCTCAATGGCCAAAGGTTTAACTACCAAAGAGTTCTTGGCCAGCCTATTCAAAGTAAAAACACTGAGTTTGTCAACTTCCAGTTTCTTAGAATGTAGGGCTTCAATAAGAGAAAAATAGAGTAAAATTACCTGATTTCATTTGGATTAGCACTATTATCACACTGTTTAATTTTCAGCTTAATCATCTTCTCTGGAGATACCTTCAATGTCATTGTCTGCATTTTTAGTGATAATATGGAAATATAATAGTAAATACCCTTTAAAGGGGTTTTGGGGTTTTGGGGTTTTGGGGTTTTGGGG